GGTAAACATCAACTGCCAAAAGCCATCCTGACATATTTTTCAGCACTTTTTTTGTCTTCCCCAATTTTATCAGCAATTTATCATTATGTGGCCTTTTTTGATGCTTCTTAAACCTTGAGTTTTAATTTGTGTGTGTGAGACTGTGGGGCCGTATGATTTCCCCGGGGAAGATGGTACCAGCAGACATGTGCACTAGCTGTCACCACGATTTTAACCTTTTTAATATAATGCCCGAATAATTCTGTCTTCTGATTGGTGGGTCGCTCATCATATGTCATGAATTACCAGTATTTGGTATGCTGGTAACCAGCGGTTGGACCATTTGTCATACCCATGGATTACATATGCAAAACACCAGTAACATTTTGTTGTCTGTAAGTACGAAAGATCGTATAGCGCCGCAAAGTGGCGCAAGATGGCAAACTTCACTGTGAATACACGTGAAACGTTGTAATCGCATGGGCACCATTTGAGCAAGCGATACGCCTGCACAATCACATTAATGTGCAGACGCCTTGGCAGGCACATGCACGTGGTGAGCCTGCGCCTAAGCATTACCGTATGCACAGGCGTATTACTTGCTCAAATGGTGCCCATGGTAATTACATCTTTTGGACAGAGTTATCCATCTTGCGCCTTCAGCGCTATATGATCTTTGGTAAGTACTGTTTCAAAAAATATTAAATGAGTGTTTCACTTTTGTTCCACCTCTTTGAGTAGAACACTCAAATCTGGCACCTCACGGAATTACTCTTGCCACTGAACTCATAAACACTCACTGTGTAGAACATTGCACAGAAGTTGCTTCCTACAAATCCTAACATCCTCAGTCCTTCACCTGTTGGGAGGTTTGAGGGCTGTGAATTTTGAACTCAGAAACGTGTGGGCTATTTATGTGAGTTTCTAACATTTGGTGTAGTGCACATTGAAGTATGCATACAAAGGAAGTAAGAAAAACAACCACTGATGTGTTTTCCTCATGTTTTTCCATTTATGAATACGAGTGCGTATGGCGAAAACTTGAACCATTTCGCATCTGTGTAATCCAGGAGTGTGTTCAAATGAGCAGCCACTGCAGTGTCAGACCCTGGTAAAAATTGGTTACAATACAAATTGGTTACAATGGAAAAACAGGAGGCTTTGATGAACAACATCAAGTCAACACAAAAATATGTACCGTTATTTTTATGTGTTTTGATGTGAGCTTGAGGTTTTTCAATCGGGAGCTGAAACTGACCCACTCTTTCTGGTGGTCAGGAAAAGAATTGGTCCCATAGGGCCTAATTCTTTGGATCCAATATGAAATGGGTCCTTCAAGAAAGGCCTGTGGAGCAAGAATGGTACATTTGAGTAGAAATATGCGCAGTACATGTGCAAGTAGGCCGATCATTCCCAGAACTAAAAGGCACAGGGGAATTGCCCGACCATACAGTGTACATGTAATGTAGCTCTGGGAGGCTGTATCAATGAGTTTGACCTTCAACTCAGAGGTCAAAATGCTTGGTTTGTATGGTGTGTGTATGAAGTGGCAGTTCTTTTCATCTAGATTAAGGTGAATTGGTAGTGCTGTGGCACATGTACATGTCTACGTGCAATTATGTTGTTGCACTGTATAATGCACCCCCTCTGTTTTGATGGCTCAGACTTGCGCAATTTCTTGGGGGGGTTTTCACAGACTTGTCAGCTGAGATGGAAACTTTGCTTCATTAAAAAGTTGACAAACTCACAGGATTTCGACTTTCCTCCTTTCTTTGATTCTTTTTTTAAAGTCTTGCGGTAAATGTGGTAGGCGTACTGGGTATGTTGTTAGCGCCACCAGTAAGTATTGGTATGAGGTATGTGTAACATGCACTGTTATGACACACAGCCCAAATTGGTGCCAGTACGAAGCATCGATTGTTGTGAGATTGTGGCCCTTTGGACTTAGCCGGTGCCTCGTTCTCTTGACCAATCAGGAGATGACTGCCACACCTTTGAAGGCCTGTCCAGGACCTTTTGTACTGGATGCAAATGAAGTTTATGCTTGTGCGCACACCTACATATTCACTGCTTGCAGTTCTCTGTTCCTCTGTTGTCTCTATAAAAGAAGCAGGCCAGCCCTATTAAGTACAGGTGCACATGCATGTACATAAATATGGTACAGGTTTTATATTGGAAGGCGAAACTGAACTCTGGCGGCGGTGTTTGATCTGATTTGATTCTCTTTTGGGTGTTTAAAAGAAATTTGAGAGAGACCAAAATTCGACTGCATATCAAAATCTATTCTGAAAGATTCTTTCAGGGTTGACTTGTCACGCCCCGCCCCTCCAAAAAAATTTAATTTGACATGACAGACATTTTTAGTGGGTTTTCTTGGCTATCTGTCTGGACGGAAGTGCTGGTACTGTAGCGTACGCCTCTTGTACCAAAAATTATCAAGAGGTAAAGCTTTGCACTCGCTGAATATATCTCAGCCTGGACATACATGTAGTTCAATATAACAAGATAATGCACAGGGCACCGGCTCAGGAAAAAAAAATACTAATGAGATGGAAGCACCTCCTTAATTACACTGTATTGGATTGAAAGCTTGGAGGGATAGCTGCAGGGGTTATGAGGGGGGGGCACACTGTAGACACCATGGATGAGCATTAAAGGCAACTAGCCCCAGAAGAACGATGATGATTCTTTTCCACAAGGGATGCTAGCCACAAGGGTCCTATCAAGGGGTTGGGGAGAAGGGTCGCACAGGCAGATTTGGGAACCCCCCCCTTCATAATGGATCGCTTGCAGCGTGACTTCTATATGAATTTCATTTGAGATGAGTCTCTGGATTGATCTCATCATTTGTAAATGTGGAGTGATGAATCGCCTGAAGTCTTTGATCCGTAACCTGGCCATTGATTGTATATATTCAGGCTGGTGCCAGTACATGTACGTGTACATTGAGACATTGACTGTGAAGTTAGAAGCATTAAGCATGTGCTAGTGGGTATTGTGCGTGAGCTGCAGTCTAGGGACTTTTCTTTCATTTTTATTTATAGCTTTTCTACTTATTGCTGTCTTTCACCATGAATAGCCTGAAATTCCATCCGTATTTATTTCTGCTCATAGTTTGGCAATTCTGCAGTGTCTATGATGTAGGGTTTTCGTATAGTAGATTAATTTGAAACCCATCCTGACAAAAATGAGTCACCTGTCCCCAGAGGCACTTTTAAAAATCTTTGCATAACATACATGTGACTAGGAAACAGGAACAATTTTCACCCACGTAACGCCCATTGTAATAAGGATACCAAACGGAGTGATACCTTAATGCCGGTACATCAAAGTAAGCTCAGTTTGCCTCTCTAATGCATACTAACACAAAGCCTTCATACGCCCTCTGCGGGACTCCATCATATTTTGTATACTTCATGAAAACAGAGTTCAACAAAGTTTATATGACATAGCATTCTTGAATCCATTGGCATTCCTGCTGTCGTTAATTGTGACTACATGTACCATTGTGAAAGACCCACCATGACAACACCAACATGTGCTCAGGGACGGCTGAAGGAATTTATTTGGGGGAAGGGGGGGAGTCAGGCCGAGGACTTCTTTTAATGCCTCATTTTTGTGGACAAGCAGAGACACATTACATGACATACAAGTACCTTCCTTTGTCCACGTTTCTTTTGCTTTTTTTCGGTTGTGTCGTTTTGTCTTAGAGTAGGCGGAGGGGTTCGACTCCCCCCTCCCCGCCCCCTGGATTTGTGCCTGGTACTACAGTGGACACTAACTCCTTTGAATGTGTGGAGAACGTGTCATTTCTTAAAAGATGATGAATGAAAAGACTACAGAAGGTGTATTCCATGCCAACCTTGACAGTTGAACAGTTGGGAAAAAAAGAGAAGGGGGGAGAGAAATAGGAAAGAGATTCTGTTTGGTTGCCATTAAAATTGTTTAATTCAAGCAGCGTCTCTGATTACGACAATGACAAGTAGTGGTTTATATTTTCAAAGAGGTTTGGAATGAGCCCAGCCTTTATCTCTATTCCTAATGCCCAATGTTGGGACCACGTTTTGACATGCTTTATACAATGTACAGTGCACTGTGTCTGAATATAATTTGTGTAAAATATTGTAACAGTTATTGCGAGATGGTTCGAATCTATGAGGCAAAAATCAAATGTGCCAAATCTCATGAGGTAGCTCCACAGAAATACCTGTCAGGCAGTAATGTAATCAAATGTTGAGCTCATTTGCATGCTCAGAGCAAGAAGTCATCTTAGAGCTTGCCACAAGCAATTTGCGTCACTCAACAATTCGGCTCATGAACTGTTTCCTCGGGAGAGTTCCTTTTTTTTTCTGGGTTCAACAAAAATGCATCAAAGGGTAGCTGCAGTGCAATTTTGCAAACCACCAAAATGCCCCCTTGTGTCCCAGTTCAGATCATTTTCAGTTTTTTTTGTCACTATTTTTAAGCCTTTTTGTTTTTAATGCTAATGATATTTCCATGTTAATGAGCGAACCTGTGATGTCTTTTGGGAAGAGAACTTCAGTGTTGCTTTTGTTTGTGCACAATGCTGCTAATTTTCTTTTTTTTGCTGGCCTAATTTTCATTCCTTTGGTGACTTATTGTGTAATTACATGGCAATAAGCAAGCATGCAACCCCATCTCAGAAATGTTTTCATTTAGTAAATTCTCGGTTCACAAGTTGAACAGAAAAACGTATGCACTAAAACATGTCTTCCTGGGATGACATCACGGCAACAGCGCCCTCAGTTGTCTAGGAAAGCATGGGCAATTTTTAATGTGTCACAAATTGCACTCGTTGCGTTGAATTGGAAAGGGATTTCAAACAGTTTGCGTACATTGAAGGAGAGGGATAAAGTTGCAGAAAATTGTGTCAGAGAACATTTCATTTCTGGTACACTTTAAGCTTCCACACCATTTGAACCTCATCTCAAAGAATTTGCATGTCTGCCATATTTAATACGTTGTTCTCCTTTTTTTTTTTACATTGATTGCTTCTTCAGTTCTATCTGCAAGACACCAAGAGCAGCAATGGGACTTTCATCAACAACCAGCGCCTCAGCAGGGGGGCAGAGGAAAGCTCCGCCCATGAACTCAACTCAGGAGACATCATCCAGTTTGGGGTGGATGTCATGGAGAATTCCAGAAGAGGAGTTGGTATGTATTTTCATGGGCATAGTGGCAGGAATAATTGTATACACCTGTACCAATGTTGTCACTCAGCTCTGCCTTGCAGAAAACATTTTTCATTACAAAAGAATGTTCCCCTCTGTGACTGTGTGACAGTTTCATGAGGAATGTTCCATTCCACTTGCCATGTGGATTGGAACATTACATCTGTCACCTCATGAAAATGGTAAATAGCCAGTTTCCCAAGGAGTTACATTTGTTGACTTAAAAATGAAGTTTCTTTTCCATCAAGTATGATGATATGTTGATAGTTTGAAGCAAGATATGTAAACTATATGAGCTGTGTAACTTCAGTGTGGCAGGTACACATAATGAGGCTTCAAATCCTTGTTGCTGATTGGTTGATCCATAGCAACAGTAGTTTTGTAGCTTTACGTGTACTGGTAGTATGTCTCTGTCTGAATCAACTGGCTTCAGCTACATGTAGAGCTGACGCACCCATCTGTGGGTAATGGTACCAGCTATGGCTTCCATAGAGAGATATGATGTTTCCAGCCGTAGTCAAAGCTTTCTAGCATGTCCAATCGTCAATGGAGTATTGATGTTGGGACTTTTAATCCAGTACAGTATTTACGACCACATACAACCATCCTACTTGAGAAATGATGTATTCTGTTTGGATTTTCAGACATGTACGTGTTTTATAATCAAAGTTGTCCTCAAGATTCAGCCCACGGTTATTATGTGTTCATCTGTTATGCCATTCCACAATATGTGTAAGGTCTGTATTTATGAAAAGTACTTTATTAAATCGGCCCCTCTCATAATGTGCATCTCAGGAAGTCTACTTGGAACTGATTAGGACGTGCATGTACTAGCCAGGCTTGTTACATGTTTAGTCATTAGTGTCAGCTTCCATTATCTCTGGAAAGACTGTAGGCCATTTATAATGTTCAGGGTTTGATTCCTAAACTGGGGGGGAGGGCTGTCATTTGACAAATGGCAGTTGGGTGCTGAGTGCAGTGGTCAAAGCCGAGTTGCTTGGGCCTGCTCTGGGTGAATGTGATGGCTTAATTGGCTGGCCAAAGTGGGTTGAAGTCTGCCAGCAGGCTCTTTAGAAGTTAGGGTGTTGATTTCACTTCTTGAGGCAGGAACCTGCTAGCAAGCCTCAAAAAAGGGACCATTTACATTGTGGGAGTTGGGAATCTTCACCGAACAATATTACTACATGTACATGTATGTGGCCAGTGCTGCAGTGGTTAAATTCTTCAGAGACAAATTGAGACCCATAATAGAAGCAGACCCTGAATTTGTGCAGGGGACAGACCTAAAACTTTCTCTTCTCACAAAGTGCTCATTCATTTTCAAAACTGTAAAAATGTAAGCTACTGCGAAAGCTGGTTTCCCCTGTGTTGTACCGTCTGAGAAATGCGACTCGTCCTCTGAAGTAAAAGTTTGTACGTTTGTGTACGACACGTGTTACACAACATGGCTTGCAAATCTAGGCAAATCTGTGAAGAGTAAACTGGGAACGGATTTAACATTTGCTGAAAACGTCTCCTGGGTTTAATGTTAATACCAGTAGTGAGCTGTTGTGGGGGCCACCTGTACACATGCATGCGTGTAATTACTGTCATGAATTATGATCTGTCAGGCAGTGCACTGTGTCAGCTTGGTGGTCAAAACCAGCCCAGTGACTCATTCACTATTGATGTATGACCTCAGTATGCAGAAGCATAAACACACAGTGTTTCTCTGTTTGCCCATCAAATATACATGTAAATACAATATATATACACATATATACTGTACATGTACATGTACATACATGTACATGTACAGACCATTTCCATATATGCATGTATGGTAGCATTACCAATGGCACTCTTTTCAGTCTGGAAAAGCGTGACTTTTTTACGTTACTTTTATTATAAAAATACAAGAAGTTACATGCAATGTGTAGTGCTTGTCACGCTTGATGCTTTTTGCGAGCCTAGTATGAGAAAAGTTGTCACTGCCACTTGTGGATGGACTCGAATCCATGACCTCTTGTTTACAAGTGCATGTACCCCTCGCCAGTCTGTCACCCATCAAAAAACATGACAAGGTTACCTGTCCGATTCTTATGTTACCAGTTTGGACTGTGGTCAATAGAAGCTTCAATTTCTGATGAACATTCATGTACCTGTAAAGTGAATGTTGGAGATCTCAGTAGGCTGTGTTGTAATTTCACCCCAATCCATTTTCCCCTGTGGCGCCCAGCAAAGCTTGTGATATGATACTTATATGTGTTACTTCATCAGAGAGACTTCGCATTTTCATGTCCGGACAGCACCCTCACGTGGAATGTATTGTATGCGCTAGAGTTATTGCATAAAGCTACATTGTACGGCATTGTACATGTATACAAACCAGCCACACTTAGCATTTTGACTACAACATGTTGTGAACGAGATTAACCACCACCAGCATTGTGGATGGGTTGTTTATACTTTAAGCATTAGTAATGTTTTATTACGTCCTTTTGATTTAAATCAGCTGTGGATTTCTCTAGCTTTTATTAAAATTTGCTCAGAGTCCTTATGGTAACAATGTACATGTACATTACATCATAATGTGTCGTCTTATTTATTTATGAGCAGTCACTATTTCATGCATGCTGGATGAATTATGAAGTAATGAATTTAACAAGCTCACAGGAGAATGCTTTTTCAGGCCTGGTCAGGTTTTTTAACTCCAGTTGTCGGCATAACAATGGAATATATCTGAATGTGCTCTTCTAATGGTATCAATGTATCACAGCATAATCCCGAATCTTGAAAGAAATGACCTTTTTAAATATCAACTTGTTAACAGTGACCCACGGCTGCATAGTTTCCCAGCTGACATTATTCAACCCAGACGGAACAGAGGCTATCAGAAGGTAGGTGCTGTTGTTTCCTCACAACATCTATTTATTTTGTGTCTAGTTTGTGGGGTTTTCAGATACTGAATTGGGGGTGATTTATTCTTTTCTGACTAGATTTGAGTTGAGTTGAGTTGAGTTTTTACGTTGGAGGTTGGTCAAAGTTTTCAAGAAACTTGTTAAAGAACTAAGGGGGCACTCAGTGGCCTACCTTCTGTAACAACAATTGCTCAAACTTTGGCAGTGTCTCGGACTTCAGTTACAGGCTGTGATGGGTGTCCTTTCACTTTTTGATTCACTATCAGTGGATTCCCGAAGTATTTGTAGGCTTTCCAGTAGGAATGATGGGCGTTGCGTCATTTAGTCCCAACATGAATAGCCTCTGAAAAAAAAAATGTTTTCTGGGACAGCAGACAAGCATCAAGTTCGAGACTTAGCTGAGCTGTGAGAAAGTGTCCCGAATACCCTTGATGAGTCGATGTCAGCTCTCACGAAGAGCAAAGGCTCCCCACGCTGTAAAGGCAAGGAGCTTTCACTACAACAGGACTGTAGATGAGCTTGAGATCCACAACCACCTCCCCCTTCCTTTCCTAGTCAACATTAAAGCATTACATGTACATCGCTGACCTTTAACCCTCCAACCTCCATCTGCAATACATTATCAAGCAGAAAAGTAAAATACATGTACATGTACATGTGCACCACATGTCTCAGTGTTTGAGTCACTGCTCATCCAAACTGAGAGGGATCAGGCTGAATCAATTCGAAGGACTGGATATTCAAATGTTCAGCCTTCAAATATTCGGTTGTACTGACTTCCCACAGGAGCAGAAACAAAATATACAGGATTTCCAAACAGCAAAAAAAAAACTTGAAGGAAAAGGCATTTTGACTTTATTGTTTGGCGTACATGTACATGTATGAATTCAGGTCCCTGAAGTCTGTTTGTAGCACCTCAGAATATGCGTTTGGAATTCAGTTTTGTGAGCCATCGACATTGTGTCATTTTTTGATTTTGATCTTCAGATGTTTCATTTTGAAACTAAGTATTTGGTTATTAATAATCGGTGGAATATATGAATATTCAAATAATTAGCCCCGCCTAACATTTGGAATGACCGCTTGACGTTGTGCAGATTTTTCCTTTTTTCCTCTCCTTTCAAAACTGCGCTGCATATCAGCACTGAATTTTGCACCCTTCCTGCAGCTTAAGCAGAATTTCCGTTCCTCAATCCCCCGGGTTAACCCTGACCACAGACAGCCAGCCACTGACAAGAAACTGCTGATACTCCTCAGGTAGAAGACAGTCAAAATGAGTGTGACCAATCAACCTCAGGACCCCAGAAATTGGTTCAACCCTGACCCTAACCCGTTTGGCTTTGCCCATCATTTTGCTGAATCTGCCAATAATTGACACCAAGCATTCAGCCACATTCTTGTTGATCAGTCAGCAAACCTCCCAAAGTTGCTCAACCAGTCCCAAATCCACTGATTTCTTACAAAACATGGCATGAATGTCACTAAACCATTGGGAAATTACTGTAGGGTAAGGGTGGCTGTGGATTTTGTTCTCGATTGCGTGCATGTTGGTGGGAACTTGTGCGATATTTGTAGTACACAATTTTAAAAATTGGAGGTTTCACTCCCCTCTGCAACACACCTGAGACCTGCATTTTGTCTTCCATGGATTGAAAAGATTTCATTGAATATGATGAATATAATAAGAATGTTGGTTATGGTACTTAAAACTTATGGTACGTGCAAGATAGGGGGGCTTTATTGAAGTAGTCAGGTACTTTCTTGGGACTCTTTCGGACGTAAAAAAATTCCTGTTCAGAAGCAAGTTTATATGTATGAAAGTAGGAAACTCAAAGGCGGTGATTTTTATTTTCAAAGAAATGATACATCATGTCCCAATTGACTTTGCTTATTAGATTTGTATTTAATCAGAAAATGATGCCCATACCATTTTGTAGCAAGTCCTTTTGAAAGTTTTTCTGCTCTGCTTTCTGTGAATGAACAGTACCTACAAATATTCGCAAGCCAATTTCTCGATACACGTCCTATTTAACCCAAAGTGAATATTTGTCATGCACATGGATGCATTACATTTTTATGGCAACACATACATACGGAACAAGGATACTTAAAAGTGTAATTTCCCAAAATATCTCTGAGAAGGAAACTGGCTGACACGTGCATGCGACATTGCAATACTCAAGTTCTCCCCTTGTGGATAGTTGTTGCAGATGAATATAATCCCCTTCCCCCCCAAAAAAGGGAGAATTTCTTTTCCTGTCCAGTATGCTGCCTATTTTGTATTCTGTAAAATTAAATCTTGGTTTCAAATGAGAATTTTTTCCCAAAACATTTTATGGAATTCTAAAAGTACAAAGAATATTTAGTCTAGTAAAAAATATTTCGATTCCATTTTGCCCAGCTCTTCCCAGTAATTGATGGAGGATATTTCTACGTCCACATGCACCATGTAGTGGTAGATAATTCAATCTCATGTCGAATGCAACACAAAACAGTCTTCCAGCAGAATATAAACATACGAAGAACTACACATTCAAGTTGTGACATTTGATTTGTCACAGCATTTGTTCTTCATTACACTTTGAAAGTGACTTTCATGTACCTGTAGGTGAGCAGAATAAACCAGGCCAGGAGGAAATAAACTCATAAGCCTATAGGATAACACTTGAGACCCAGATCACAGATATGTCATGGAGTCTAGCATTAACATGTAAATGGCATTGACACGTAGCATGTAGCTACCACTGCAACTTCGGCAAGCTAAACTCATTTCCTTATTGTCATATACCGGTGCATGTCGATTTCAAATCACGTACACGTAGATTCAGCAAATTTCAAGTGGCAGAGTCTTGTTCCGTTTGACATATTTCTTTCTGTAATGTGGGTTTTGAAAGACTTGTATATCCAGTGTACCAAACGAATGAATGAACACTATAAATAGATTTTTAAACTAACCTGTAAAGAGGTGTTACATACTGGTACTTGCTTATGAGCTCAGATGTACTGGTAGTCTGGCATTTATTGCACTGGTTGACCCAAATTTGATTGAACTAACAGAAGTAAATGTTGCCAAGAAAATTTTCATTTAATTGAAACTCTGCCTGGAACCAGTTAAAAGTACATGTAGTATGCTTCAAATAGAATTTTTGCTTCAAAAGGAACCTGTCTTTGTCATAAAAGTTTTATGTATGTACATGTACGCTTAGCAGCTTCAAGACACCAGCGCTTACTCTCAGGCCAAATGAAGGTACATCTACATCGATACCAACGGCATGTGAACACCAGAACCCAAATTTCACAGCTCTGCTGGCCAAGGAAGTCTGTGTTACAATGCTGTTACAGTTCAAAGTATGATCACCAGTAGCTGTGGTGCAGAAACCCGTAGTGTGGGGGATGTAACGGAGCACACAAGCCAAGAGTCTTGGATGACTTGTGAAATATGCAGAATTATTGGCTATGCACATGTGTTTCATTCATTGAAAGCTGAACCATGTCGATGCGTTTTGCACCATCGTTTTACTGATACATAAAGCATTTGCTCGGAATGAACATGTTTGTTCCCTCACATCTGAAATAAGAACAGCTGGGAAGTAACCAAACAACATTGAGCCCACTACATGTACTTGTAGATGGAAGTGACATGTACATGTCATAAATCTGACTTGTCAGATGCACATACACCTGTACATGTACACTACTGGTATTAATCCCATAGGGTGCTGGACTATAAAATGACAGCAGCGTTGATCCAGAAGTACCCTGGAAAGTCGATGCTTTTTACTTACACAGTTATCCTTTTTATCCGGTTATGCCTTTTTTTCCCATCTCTCTTTTGCAAATGTTTAGTTCCCCGGCTCCGACATTAAGCTACAACAGTACCAGCCCAACCAGTAACAATGTGCCATCCCAGGACCTTTACCAGTTATCACACTACCTCAAGGTAAGAAGTGGATAGGTCAGCCTTTCTGTCGGCGTCTCGTGCATGTAACTGCAAGTTTAAGGAACTTTCTGAACATGACACTTTGCAGTAATTCGAGCGACAACAATTTGTCAACCAGTGGTCCATTTTGCCTGGTACTTTGGATATATTTTGTGCACAGGTTATTGGGGAAAATCGACCATATGTTAGTCACTCAAAGTTGCCCATAACTTGCACGTACTGATATGATTTCAGGCTTGTGGTGGTGTAGAGCCTTACAAGTCCATCAAAAGTCCTGTCACATGTACCGTTGAATGGACAATGGCAAACAAAATGCCTCAGATTCCTTGGAACAGCTTGTCACCAGAGTTGAGGCAAGGTGACCTGTGAAGGACTTTGTGATGGATTAGACTATAACACTGGAGTATACATAAATAAGTTCGGATACTAGAACTGCATGATTATTGCAGTTCAGTCAATTTAGTACCATTTTCCAAATCTAGGCTTTGTTTCAGGCTTTGGATTTATCCAAGGCTTCAGAATCAGATTGAGACATTTAATGTTTTAATCAAATTGAAATACTTCAGGATACAGTTTCAACATTGGACAGATGAACTGATAGCATATGGGAACCTAAGAACAGAAGCGAATGCAATGAAATAAAAGTTCACCACAGAGTTTCTTTAATGATGATGAATAATTAAAAAATGGTAATTTTTTTCTACCAAAAAGTTTTATGCAACTTTTTTTTTTCAAATGAAAGTGAGGCATTGAACCCAAAGTAGTCTGGCACCATTCCATTTTGACAGATTAGGTTAAATGAGATGGATGCAGGGAACATGATCACAAATGGCTTCCTTTTGAACAAGGTGTATTCTTTTGAGCAGGAGGCTCTGCACCGGGAGCAGATGCTGGAGCAGAAGCTGGCCGGCCTGCAGAGACTGCTCTCCTCCACCCAAGAAGCTTCGGAGAGTAGCTGGCAGGCCCTGATTGATGAGGACAGGCTGCTTTCCAGGCTGGAGGTCTTAGAGAGCCAGCTCAGGGCATACTCAAAGGTGAGACGCGCGTCTCTCAGACGCAGCTCCTTGACTGTGCAGGTCACTTGCGGGTCAGTAGTTGAGGTAGTGTTTTGTTAGGGAAAAACAGGATACTTGACTGAATTATTGGGTTGTGTGGTGCAAATTTACCTTCAAGCATTCTGGGAAAGGAGAGAGAGCCATTTAGCACTGCTGTGTACACATGGGTTCCTGGGGAAAATTGGATACTGAGAAGTCTTCACGTCTGAGTTTGCTCCTTTTCCAAAAGAATTGTGGTTGTGTCCATGTAGATACCCAACCATTGGCAAAATAGGTTCTTCACTTTACTAATTCCAAAACAGACACGCTACCTTAATCTGTTGAGCAAACTACAGTATTCTTTTGAACTTACCGACCCTGTTAGTATACATGTAAGAGGTGGCATCGTTACCATGCAGTGACAAAGCAAACAAACTGTGATGTTATTTTGGTATTTCTACTGAACAGATACATTTATCTGACACTCGCCCTTGTTCTTACAATTATCTTGTAAAAATGCTCTGAATTTTTGTCTTTCAGGCAAATTCAGAGGAGAGTATACGGAAGGAGTTGGTTGCACTCCAAGAAGACAAACACAACTACGAGTCGACCGCTAAGGAGTCTCTCAAGAGGGCGCTAGAAGAGAAACTAGATGCATGCCGGAAGCTCTCTGACATGGAGGTATTGTCAAATTTTCCAAACTGATACTTTTATTATTACTTTGTCAAAAAATGGTTAGCTGTTAGCTGTTTCTAAAGGTGAAGTTGTGAAATGGCTTAAAGTGAAGTTTTCTACGGCCAAACAAAAAATAGCTGTGTTTCCGCTTACCCAACCCAACCTAGAAAATCACGCGGAACCTATATCTTTTTATTTGACAAATCAATGAAATATGAAAACTTACGGTGCCTTGCCCCGAGCCTAATTTTGTGTACATCATCCTGTACGTTGTATTGTTTTAAATTTTTTTTGCATGAGATGGACGGCTCTTGTGTGTTTGTATTTCAACAACCAGTTGCTTTACTGCTCAGTCACAGTGCTGATATGTAATATTGACGTGCACATGTACATTATTAATCTGACATTGACTTAGTACCTGTTACAAATATACACCCCCCCCAAAAAAATACAGACCATCATCCCACCCTAATTTTTTTGGGCTATAAAAATTTAGAGTTAAAATGAATTTATTTTTCAGTGTAATAGGAACCACAAGTAATTTTTTGTTTGGCCTAACCCAGTTTTGTCACCAAGTACAGTTCAAAGGAAACTTCTAGTCTTACTTTTAACAATTTCTACAAGCAAAACAGGGGCAACTCTTTTGGGGAAAAAACTCATATTTCCTTTCACACCGGAACCCTCCTTTCCCCCATAAAGCTGGGTATTGAAATCCATCCACTATCTCACTTGCAGAGGATTCTTTGTGAATCGCCTGTGTTCTTTTTGGACCATGACACATTACCTCCCCAGTCGTAGAATAGTAGAGTCTCTGTAAAACAGATGAATATTCATAGGCTTGCATGAATATTTGATCTATTTCATTGGGACAACCTCCTTCCTCTCCAGAGGATGCTGAGCAATTCGGAGGACGAGTGCGCCCACACCAAGGAAGAGGTGGACCGCCTGCAGGCCGAGCAGGAGGCCTTGATCACCAAGCACTCGGAGGTGGCCGCCGAGCTGAAGGACGTGGCCCAGAAACTTGCCGAGGCGGAGAAGATGCATGCCGATGAGGTCAGGGGTCCTTGTTTATTTTGGCCTCTGCCAAAACTTAGCTTTGTTCCAACTTTGCCTTTCCCTCATGTGTAGGTCCCTGATTTGGGAGATTCTGGCTTAATAACCTTTGGATGGCTCTTTGCTGCGTGAGACTTGAACATGAAGCAAGAGATGGGAATCATTGCATGAAAGGGTTCACAAATATTTCTGGGGTCACAGACGAAGCCACCGCTGGAGGCAAAGCTTTTTGAGAAATGCCCAGAGTTTGTTGAGATCCGTCCTCGGTTGGCCTTTTCCAGTATGACCAAGTTATTCACGAAACCAACTGAGGGCGCCGTTAACTGTTTCTGACAAATTTGGCCAAAGCCGAGGAATTTGTGAATTGCAAGCAACAGGAACATAAGACAGAAAAGTGGCAACTTGATAGGAATTATGTGTAAAAACTCAGTTAAAAACCCAGTGAAACAACTTCAGTAATGCAAGTAAAATGCTTCAGACTAGCCTTGAGGTTTCAATTCATGCATGAATATTAGGTTTTAACTGAATGATTGAAAGGCATTTGTTCGTGCTTTCCAATGGCAGGATAGTGTAACACCTGTATGTTAGCCAGAAGTATAATTGGAAACTTCTTAAAGGTTGCTTGTGTAGAATTGTATCTCATTTACCTTCACAAGTAGTCAAGTATCTTGTACTTGTTCACTTCTCATTGGCTGCCAAGGTGGAGAGATTAACGATTGAGAAGACGGAGTTGGAACGGAAGGTGGACATTGCATCACGAGAGGAGATCGCCCTGGCAACAAGGATCGAAGAGATGCAGGCGGAGTGCGACTTTGCCCGGGAGCAACTTGCAGCTGTCAAGCGTAAGTCAGTTTCTCAGTGACCGAGTTGCAGTTTATTAAAAGCTTGAGTGTCGCACCCGTGGAACGGAGGGGGGGGGTAATTTCTTCATCTTGAAAACGCACAATGTGCACACATGTAGGCCAATGACTTTCAAACATGGTGGGATCGGCTGGCCAACTGTGACCATTTTTTCTGTAAACTGAATCTTTCTCAGACAGTGTCAGTGTTATTTGCCTCAAAATGGTCTCAAGCTTTTGGCCGTAATTTTTCCCTCCTCGTGGGCAGTTCGCTACGAAGAAGTTCAAGAGCAGCTCAAGCACGATGCCAAGGACACGGAAAAGTTCGACAAGATGGAAGACCAGGAGAAAGAGGACAAAAATCGCAAGATTATTCAGGAAAAGGAGGACGACACCAGGCAGATCATCTCCAAGGAAGACTCAGACTCCACAGATGCCAGAGACAACACGTTAGGTGAGCAGAGTGAACCTTGAACCCCACTCCGAGAACTCAGGAGGGAAACTCACCAGCTTTTAGCAGCTCGTTTTGATTCAAGTCTCTGATTATTCAATCCCTTGTAATACAGTTGACTGTAGTCACTGGTGACAGAAGACGCGACTCACATTAAAATCCAGTGAATCGTTACAACACTGTTACACATAGGCCTACTTGTAACCCTCTTAAAATTCCTGAGTCCCTTGAGTCCAAAATTCAGTGAATGCTACAGTTCTACCAACCGCACAGAGAGTTGAGTGCTTGTACCGTAATGGGTTCCTTCCCTCAGATAATAGCAACAGGTCACTCAGAGAGGACCAGGAAGACATTGAGAAGGATGCCAAAGAAGAAGCGAAGGAGAAGCCAACAAGACCAGAGGCCAAGGTCAACGGTCAGGCAACGCCGACAGGTAAAAAAGATGCTCGGCAAGTAAAATGTGTTTGCCCGGAAAGGGTGGTGAAACCTACTCCTCCGTCTCAAAAATGACCATCGTAGAAATGACCATCGTAGAAATGATCCAACTCACTGTGCTGCACTGTTCTCATGTTTGTGTTTGGCAAATTTCATACGTATATTAAAATCTATATTCCTCAGATCCTTTGAAATTGACTGGAATGTTTTGTTGGGTTTCGTAAGATGGAGAAACATTTAGTCTAGCCACTTTTACCAGACATGCATGAGGCAGGGAGCTCCTGAAAAGTTGGAGAAAGTAGAAGGTGGCATTGGGTTCCTGCACCGGGGTAGATCGTGGAGGATACTGGAACGAATAGACTAGAAATTGTTAGTCGCATTACGAAGTGACTTAATAAATTGACAAGTTCCATGCACTGACCCACCTTGTGCAGAAAGTCTGTGCACTGAACATTATTTTGTGGACTGTTTTATTGAAATAGGCTGCTTGGTGGTATGACCGACAATCTTAAAAGTATCATGCAGAAGTTGCGTTTGTGTTAGTAGCTTTCACTTCGCTCTTCGTAACCGAAAGAAGATGATGTGATCTACCTACATATGGATCATTGAGCATGTTCACGAGCCAGCGCCGTTCACTGTTCTTACCATGACGTGGCAAGGCTCTGGAAACCGCATTGATCAATTGAGGTTTGTGTGCAATTTCTTGTTCACGCAGATGCATCGCCCACCTCACCCAACGAGCCCCCGGTTCAAGGGTTGTTAGAAGAACAACTGGAAAGATTAAAAGGTAGGACTCCACAAGGGTAGAACTAAACTAAACTGAAGTTTAGAAACAAAAGTTGTACCCAAGTCAGTAAGCATGAGTCTGATTTCTCTGGATTTGTCAAGATTCAGGATTTTTGACTGATAATTCTGGACTTGCAGATTTTCCATCCTTCAAGGTTTGCCCTTTTTTGGCAATTTGGATTATAAAGGCAAGTGTGAGGTTCATTTTAATCACAGCCATCTGTGAGAGGATTCAGTTGGATATTAAAAGCCCTGGAGAGTTACAGTAATGCCGTTACCTGGATGTCATGTGGGTTTTTGTCATCTTTCAATCTCACCCCTGTAGTTTCATATCAATTAGCTATCAAACAGGTGTCTTGGTTACACCTAACAGGATGCTGAACAGTGACTGAGGCATGGCAATGTCACACTTCATCTGAATGGTTTGTGACTTGAGACTTAAACCTTGAGAGGACTGACAAAACTCGCCAGGACTTGATTTCATCTTTTCCAGTCACTTAGGGGCCACCCATTCTCTCCTTTTTCTTCCATGGAGTGCACAGAGCCTCTTTGCTCTCTGGACCACCTCTCCCCTTCAGGAGCATACAAACTGAAAAGGAAAATAACAATTATTTGTTGTTTTTGCTGAGTTTTAAATGTGTACATGGCCCCCCCACCCCCTGCGTTTTGTTCCTGTGCTTGTGAAAATGATGAAAAAAAAATGGATGGCCCAATTAAGTACATGAAGTGCTTGTGTGTGTCCTTACGCATTAAGGGTACCAACATTCTGCCTGTTTGTTTGATTCAGCTAAATTGGTAGACTCAGAAACCAGGCTGCAGGAGAGCCAAGAGCAAGTCAGCAGCCTACAGGCACAGCTAAAGCAGGCTCAGCTGGAAGCCATCGAGAATATAGCCAAGGCTAATGTCATTGAAGGTAAATAGTCTGTATGCTGACCAGCAGTGGGGGCAATAGTACGTGTCTGTGGAGCCATAGAGCCTGTGGGAAAGTGCTGCCCTCTTGTGGTCACACACAGGCCAGGTGGGGACATAAAACAAGGTTCAGTGATTCAGCATCCAAATATTTCCAATAAAGTCAATAAAACTGGAACTCTAACTAGAAAAGTATTTGTGAGTGTTACACCCTTTCCAGGCACTAGACTCAACATAAGAGCGTTAACCCTAACCCTTCTCAATCCTTCACCTGTTGGAGGACTGAGGAGTATTAGGGTTAAGAATCACAAATGGAATGTTGGCAAGTTTGAAAATGATTGAATCTAGTACCATGTCTAGTGACCATGTTTAAGGTGTCTAAAAAGTGTGTATACGCATACACATGCAACATCTGTTGAAGTTTTGAGGAGAAATCCTCAAGGCCCTACCTATATAGCAGTGTTCAGAATTTTAGAGACTTTGAACTTTGCATGACAATTAACATCTTTTCATTTGACTTTTTTTTGTTGGTGTTTTCAAAAAATAAAGTTTTCGTGGCCAGTAGCATAACCAGGGAGATGCAGAATGGGAGATTGCAAAGGAGATTTTAACAGGAAAGTCAGGGCGCTTCCAAAAGTAAAATGTGGACAAAGAACTTATGTTTCTATGGGAAGAGAATTCCATGACACATTGGGCAAACTAAACTTAGATTGTACAGGGGTCTGTTGCCCATCCGAAATGCAGATTTCATGCTGTTGTTTTCCATTTGAATCTGGATTACTGCATATATCACCCCTTGACACTGTTGACTTTCAGTCCCATGTGCGTCAGTTAAATTTCGCGTCCTTCTGGCTCGGTTTTAAAAGCTTGGACTGTGGGAGTAGTCCAGGCATCAGATTGGAGCACTTTCCTTTAGAGGATGGCGCAGAGAAGTAACACGCAAGCTTGCATCTGTTATATTTTTCTGTCAGAGAAACTCAAGGAATCTGAGAGGACTATGCAGGAGGCAGTGGAAGAAGCAACTGCCGACCTCAGAGAAAGAATAGGTGGGAACGTTAGTTTGTAGCACTCAGCAGCTGATGCTTTCATCTTGATGTTTACACGCTCTCTCTAATGAATGAATAATATCCCGAGCCCATTGTGGCGTATTCTCTGGCACCATGCTTTGACCCAACCTCACAAGACGAGTCATAAGTCTCCAAAGCCGCTTTCAAGTTTTAACCTTTGAATGAATCTTACACAGTGTCAATGTAGGCTATCAATATATTTCTATCCCATCATGTCCTCTATCACATCATGTCCTCTTTCATCTTTCATCAGATGTCCACAGTTGTCATTACAGTCTCATATTGTCTTTTAACTCCAATAAATTCACTTCAAACTAAAACCTCAACATCCAGCCTTTCTTTGTCAATATGCGGGGGAGTCAGGGTTAGTCTTCATCTCAAGTCACTAAATCTGAACGATTCCTCTCCACCTCTGTCATTTGCAGCCAAAATGGAAGCTTTGAATTTAGAGAGGACTAGAGGAGGTCAAGTCATTGAAGGTGAGAAATCTTTCTACTTTTGAGGAATCTTTACCGCATTACATTTTCCATAAATCTTATTGCCTTCTATCTTTGAACCACAGTCAAGAGTTCCAAACCTATGAACTTACCTTTCACTACCTGTATTTGACCTCTCCAGAGTCCGTGTTTGCAAAGACGGAAGAGAGGCATCTTAGCGCTGCCCCGCCTGATGCCAAAAACAACCTCTTGAACACGATGCTACCGGACCAGCTGGCCAGCCTTCATAATCATCTTGGCGACAACCAAGGTATGAACCCAATTCCCATGCCCCTCTGTCTCTCAAGCCCCCAAAGGTGCAAAGGCTTGTTTTGTGCTGTTGGAGGGTTTCAAGACTCAGAAATCTCTGCTTTGCATTCTTATTCTAAGAACCTAGCACATGGTTGGCCCTTCCAACTGTGGATTGTGTCAACATGGACAAATCGTCACGTCGGAAAACATTCTGAAAACAGTTGTTGGAAACTCAGTATCAGGGGTGTGATTTGTCTGGATTTTTCTGTAATTTCTGCGAGACTTTTTGAATTTCCGTATTGTCAATGCTTTCAATATGTAACGCAAAGACTACAATATTCGGTGCGAAACTAAGCGAAGGACTGGCACAAGTTTAGATTTATAGCATGCACTTTTGCATTCTTACTCCCCCTGGAAAGGCGCCAGATACATAGGTAATAGTACAGTGAACGGAGGGGTATCAATGTTAAAACATAGGGACCCAGGCCAGTGGTATGATCGTTGTGTGTATGTACATGTACTGTACATTCGCTGTGTGTGTATGCACGGTATACGTGTTGTTGTTGCATGCTCTGTGTACAACTTGCATCCGTCTGCCATTGCGTTTCGTTTCGTTCTCGTGGTGGTGTGATGTCATTGACGTCCATCAAAAATGTCATACAAGGTAGTAGGTAGGGCAGGGGATCTGAATGTAGACAAAGAATTCAAGAATTCTTGGAAATTTTCCTGGCTGGAAACGGAGGTGGACAGAGAATTAACAAAGGGGAAATCGATATATTATCGTGACTTTCTCATGAAAATCGACAAACCTGGGTACTGCAAGTGCACATGGTGTCACAAGTAATGCATTACTCATCTGTATGAGACAGTTTTCAGTTTTAATAAATTGTGATAAAATTTTGTGGATCACTGATAACTGTCTGTGTGTGTATTACACTTCTAGGTCTTTGATTGTCACCAATTATAGCTTACATGTATAATTGCAATTGAAGTGAATGAGGACAAGGGTTTTGTTGCAGTAAATGTTATAATTGTATCCCTCAAAGTAAGAACAGCTCTTGTGGTGGCTTACATGCAGTACCTGAATCTCCTATAATCAAATAGATATGCCGTGAATTGTAGGGAAGCTGTGGCTGACGCGACTTGCAAAACCCTCCGACAAATGTGTCGTGGATTTTTCATTTTCCCCAAATCACACCCCTGCAGTATAAAAGAAGCGTTTCAATTTCATTATAAGGTTACCAGTTTCAAAGTTACTAGCTTTGAGTCACACAATACTCATGATTTTAATTCCTTACATATCCAGAATAAAAACATTAATGACAGAATGGTTAAAAGGCAGTGAAAATCTGTAAAGTGGGATACAATTACCATTGGTAATTTCATGCTTTTTTAATTACCAAGTTAACGTATTGGTTGTTTTTCATTTGATTTTGATTGTAGAGTCGCTGTCTGAAGCTGCTGATGCTTCCCTTTCAGAAACCTTGCATGATGATCCCACAGGTTAGCTTGCTCCTTCCCCATCCCTACCCCTGCCCTTTCCCCTCTCTGTCCCACCCCCTGCCCTCTCCCCCTCCCTGGACCCATCCACGCCCTGCCCTGCTCCTTCCCTGGCCCCACCCCTGCCCTTTCCCCTCCCTGGCCCCANGCCCTTTCCCCTCCCTGGCCCCCCCATGCCCCGCTCCCGCTCTCTGGCCCCACCCCCTGTCCTGCCTCCTCCCAGACCCTGCCCCTCCCCTCCCTGGCCCCACCCCTTTTTGGCCCTACCCTCTGCCCTGTTCCGCCCCTCCTCGACCCCACTCACTCCCTCCCTCCCCTGCTTTGAACTTGTCATGCCTGGAAGAATTTTGTTAAAAGCTTGCTTTCCTGTAAAGTCCGCTGCTGTGAATGTATATCAGAGTGTTACTTTGGGAAAAAGAAAATCTTGCCGCAGTTTCTTGTTAAAAATGACAATAATATATTTATCATTCCTTACCATGAGGCAACAATGAAGGATGGAATTGTTCCAAGAAAATTTTTTTCATTTATGCTCAAACTTTTACTTGAAATAAATGTGCATGGAAAGAACTACCATACTTTGGAAGCAAAATTTACTTTGTTGTTCTTGTCATTAGGCAGCAAACGAAGATGAATATTCTAATACTTGTGATTCTCAAGAGAGCATTTCGTAGTCTGTATATCAAAGTTTACTTTAGAGAGACCTGTAGGAGGAAAGTTCCAAAGAGTTTGGATAGAACTAGAACCTTACGGCTTTCTACTTGTTGTTTCTGTCATATTTTCAGCTCACATTGGTGAAAAACTAGAGGATGCACTGCAGCTTAGTGCCAAAGAAATGGAGATGTTGAAAGGTAGGGAAGAAGGTCGGGTCAGCTCAGGTCAGATGAGGTCAGGTCAGACTAAGTCAAGTCACGTTGGGTCAAGTGTTGGTTACGAGCAGCTAATATTGGTTCAGAGCATTCTCCATCAGGTCAAGTAGGTTATGTCAGGTGACATCAGGGCAGGGCACCTCATTTCAGATGAAGTCGTTTTATGTATAGTGAATACCAAATCATGTTGGTTCAGTACCCTCAGAGCGCACACAGGTTGAGTTGTGGTAGTAGTAGATTATGTCAGGTGACATCAGGGCAGGGCACCTCATTTCAGATGAAGTCGTTTTATGTATAGTGAATACCAAATCATGTTGGTTCAGTACCCTCAGAGCACACACAGGTTGGGTTGTGGTAGTAGTGGATTATGTCAGGTGACATCAGGTTAATTCAAATCAAGTTGTGTTATGTTGGTGGAGATCAGGTCATTTTGCTTCAGGACCGTTCAAAACGTGTCGTGTCAGATTGGGTTTGGGTAGGTCACATCTGGTTTTGTCAGGTCAAATGTGGGGATTTGGTTCCCATATATCCTTGCAAACTGTCTGATTGTACAGCAACCAATCAGAACAATCCAGAATGCTACCAAACCTGTGAGGAACTTTGCAAGGACTGATACAGTTTTGTTTTTGCTCCATAAACTATTGTATCATGTCCCATCTAACCGCCGCCAAAAGAAAAAGTACCAAAATAAAAATATGCAGGCTCTTTTTGGGGCTTCCTCAAGGATTTAGAGGAAATCCATTCAAGGAACTGATGTTTAAGGGTTTGACATGATTGATATTTGAGGGAAGCAAGAATGAGTCATGAGGGTAGGGGGGAGATTGAATCAATGTTCCACGGAGGTGTCTGGTTTAAGTGTCGGTGCTGCGGATTGCTCCGCTCACAGCAAATGAACGGCATGGAGCTTGCCAATTAGAAGTGTCTCATAATTAAGGACATCCTGGCGTAATATCATTCATGCACTGGGCTCTCTCTCGTCTGGAAGTTGAACAGGTTCAGTCGTGACTTTTGCGAGTGTTCATTTTCACATTTTCTCTCCCGTCTTTTTCGCCGGTATGTACGCAGAGAAACTGCAGGCTTCGTTGAACAAGCAAAAGTTGTACGAGGAGCAACTGGAGAAGTTAAGACGTAAGTCGGCTTTCATTTTGATCGAACACCGAGTTTCAATAGTGAGTGTACTGTCGAGAGCTGTCACCGGGAGTCAAGGCGCTTGGGTCCTTTTTCCACAATTTGAAGGATTGGATACTTTTATTTTGGTTAATGTCCAGTTTACTCAGACTTAACATGTCTGACATTAAACTACTTCCTAAGAAATGTCATTTACGTGAAGGAGTCTTTCTTTTTAAAAATTTACACTCATTCCCACCCCCTTGCGCCAACAGTGACGTTTTCTTTGCCAGTTTCTTCAAATTATGAACATTGAGCTCTTGCGTTCTAGAGACTTGACTTTGAATTCGATTTTGTGCATCATTGTGAAAGAATTGTGAAAAACGTTGATGAAAATTAATTCATGTTGTTTGTGTTTGTTATTCTGACAGGAGATTTGACGGAGATGCAGAAAAGACACGAGGTCCTCCTGGAGGAGAATGAGACACTGAAAGAGCAGTTGATTGACAGTCAAGAGGAGGCCAGAGAAGCTGTAGAGAGAGCGGAAGACCTCCAGGGTGAGAAGCACCACAGATCTTGCCAGTTTTTTTTCAATTGCTTCCCCCCCGGCTTATGCCTATCCTTCTCCAAATCTCTATGCACTTTTGTGAGGAACCTCCGCGAATTCTCACAACCAAACAAATCCACTACTATGCAACACAGCATTCCCCTTAGGGAAACCTTCAAGGAGCTCCGAGACATCAGTCAGAGCAACAGTGGCTGGTCCGCCTCAATCCTGGAAAATTTCTCCAAACCCCCCCCCCCAGCTGGACAGAGGAGGATCTGGACGGTTCGAGGGTTAATGCAGGGCTCATATTATCTGATTCAAGTGACTTTTCTCGGTGTTGTAGTTTTGATGACTGAAACCTCGGTTAATTTTGTAATTTTGTGCAGTTTTTTGTCTGAGTTTGTTCCAGTTACTAATCCATTTTAGGCTTTCAAATCGTATTAGAGGATTTTTATCTCGACCTTTAAGTTTTACCCAATCTGTTTTTTTTAACAGAGCAACTTGAAAGAGCAGAAAACTCCGCCAAAGAAGGCAATGATCAGATACTGGAACTAAGAGGTGAGTTGAATGTATTCTCTTGACTTAATCTCTTCTCTTGACATCATCAGATTATGAGATGACATTCAAATCCAGTTTTCCTGGATCATTTTAATTAAAGACTTGTGGACCTCTTTTAGCAAGGGCAAGTTTGGTTGAGATTTCCTGTTGACCTTTGTTTGGCTGTATCGTACAAATTACTGAAAGAGATAAGAACTGTGCTTTTATGCATAGACAGTGCCACAGTGCACTCCGAGGAATGCCAAGCAAATCCTCTCGTGTGCAAGTGGTACCCTCCAGTTTTCAATTCACTCAGTTTGGAGTTGGAGATAATGAGGGATTACCCCTCCAATGCCCTCTTGGCACATCCAGCTGGCTGGCCAAAAAAAGAGAGAAATGCATCAGTATAAAAAGCAAGGGTAAACAAAAATCAAAATTGCCTGCCGTGGGATTCGAACCAGTGATCTCCAGATCTGCACTGATTCACTCAATATCAATGAAGCAGTCCGTGTCACCAGTCCGTGTCCTCAAGCAGGATCTGAACCGGTGATCCTCAGAATGCTGTGTGGGTGCTCTACCGACAGACCAATCCATGTCAGCATCCTGAAGCAGGATCTGAACCAGTGATCGCCAGAATGCTGTATGGGTGCTCTACCGATAGACCAATCCATGTCAGTGTCTTAGAGAGACTGCCACTGGATATCTCAGTCGGTACAATGCTGGCATGTCACCGTAGAGGTCTCAGGTTCGAATCCAGCTTATTACAGCCCTGTGATGGATTATATGCACATAATATATTTTGATAATTTTACTTTTAGATCAATTGATGGAGGAGCAACAAGCCGCCAAAGCCAGCTCAACAGAAGCCTCACAGACAAAACGTAAATTGAATATTTTTATTTTGTATTTCAGCAAGGTAGCTTGAACAATTTAATTAACAGGGCCCTGGGGAGAAGACAGGGAAGAACTGTTTAGTTTAAGAGGTTGGAGGAATCCCCCGGGGAAACATTCCAGACTGAAACCTCAATCCACATTTTGGCTTGGGTGGGATTTGAACACAAGTTGCAGCCATGGGAAGTACCTTGACCTCAACCTGACCTCCCAGCATGAAAATGGTTTCCTTTGAACTCTGACTTTCTTCTTCTAGGTCTCTTTCCAGATCTGCCAAAGTATAAGACTTGAACAATCAACCAGAAACAAAATATTTGCAGCCCTTCAAATCACTGATGTTTACAAATGTTATTCATAACAACATCTCATTAGAGTCCTAACCAGTCTCACCAGGGTTGAAAGGCCAGAGAAAGGCTCACAGATTCCTCAACAGTGACCACTGACTATCTCATTTTGATGGCTTTAATTTGACGGAATTTTTTTCTCTCTCTTTTCTGTATTCCAGAGCTGTTAAATAAAGAGCAAGAGGCTTTGAAACGTCAAGGAAGCCTGCTGGAACAAATACAGAGTAAGTCATAGCCATTTGTTTTCTTGTAATGAAGGGCAGTCCCTATTGGTTTAAGAATTAATGTCGAAATGGGGCCGTGCCAAATGAGTAATAAAGAAATAGCGCTTTACGCACAAAACCTTCATTACAGAACATTGCAGTGCACAGAACGATATCTGGGGCAGTCTGGGTGTCTGGGTGTCAGAAGCAAGTAATGTCTTCAAATGTCCATTGTTTTATTTGTGGTGATCTTGCATCCTCATTCAACCATAAAACATTGTGAAATTTTTTTCCAGTTTTTTGCCAACGTATTACGCAGTTGCTGACATGGTTAAATATGCTTAAATAATCTACCAAATTAACATTTGGTAGATTTTAATGAGCTATAAATGAATATTCATAAATACCTCAGACAGTCTGCCTATTCCACAATGTGCAACTTGACGGTATTAAAATTTGATAATGCCTGCTGCCAAAAACACTCGTTGCCACCTGGATATGAGACAGTTTCATTGATTCTGATTGGTCAAGAGTCTGTGTGCATGTGGCTTACCACACAGGCGCCAAGTCCATATAAGGTGATTTTCTTGACAACTTGCACAGGGAATATACCATAAAATGGACGAGGGTGTTTGGGAAATTAAGTATAATTCAAAAATCAAAATCAATGGAAATCTATCATATGTCGACTTCTTTTGACTCTCTGACTAAAAAGGTATTTATGAATGGGAATAAATATGTGCTTGGCCATGCCTAAACACATGTTTGAGACGGGCAAAGCACAAAGTTATATTCTCTTATTATGAATTGAATTGACAAACTTACCAAGGAATCGCTTTTGTAGATCGAATCGTGCTTACATTTTCAAACCAACATTCTGTGTGAAAAGAGGTATTCTTTTTAACCCATTTCAGCATCCACCGGAGAAAAAAATTCACAATCCAAGAAACAGAGCCTTAAAATGAGGTGCTCTTGTGGGAAGATCTGAAACTTGCTTTCTTTATTTCCGTCCCTTTTCCCAGAACAATTGAGAACTGTAGAGGAAAAGAGCTTGGAAACGGAAGCGTCGATGGAAGATTATCAAGGTAAGTAGATTTCAGAGCTTGTCCCCTTGTGGCCCTACCCCCCCAAAGGCCGGTCATTCTTTACTAAGGAGAACAACAATTTCTTGAACTCCCTGAAAATGTAAAGACTTCCCCAAATTCCTGGACTGCCCCACCTCCAACTTCCTTCTCCCCCTCCACGGAGAATTTTTAGGAGAAATAAGTATGGTCTTGTAGAATTTAACCAGGGTGTTGCAAGTGTACAGTCAAATCTCATTAATAAGAGGCCCTTCGGACTTGGCAAATTACCTTATTATAAAACGAACCTTGTATTTATTTTTTTTAAAAAAGCAAATCAAGGCACATATCTTAAATTCAGATAATTAACAGACAATTTGAATTATTTGCCAAACTATGTCGTCGAACCAATTAATCAAAGTCATCTTATCTTATTAATATGTTAATATGTAATATTTGTAAACATATTTTCAATCAGCAACAAGCGGTTATAAGATTTCTCTGTTGAAAAAATTTAAGTCTGTTGAACTTAAATAGAAGAGTCTGAATTGTTTTCCTTTTTACTCACATTTTCATATTTTTCTTGTGATGACATAGACCAAATAAAGACTCTGAAAGAAGAGCTGGAGAAAGAGAAACAAGTGCGGCAACAGCTGGAGAAGGAGTCTACACAAGCCAAGCAAAGTATGCAGCAGCTTCAGTCACGGCATGATACGTTGGTGGCCCAGAGGCAAGGTAGGCTGATTAACAGCAGTTACTTTGCAGTTTACATTGAGTTCCAGTATTAATCATGGGAGCATTTCTTTTTGTCAGTGTAGGATTTTTAGGAGCCACGTTTTTCTCCATTTAACTTCTGAACCATAACTTTTCTGTATCCGGGGGCAGGTTTTCTTATTAAACTTTGGCAGAGATGCTTAACCCAAACCCTCCTCAATCCTTCACCTGTTGGAGGACTGAGGAGTGTTAGGGTTAATACTTGCTTTTCATTTGGTTGCACTCTGAATGCAGCTACCACCGGAGATTTTTTTTCTGAATGATGTTTTGTTTGCCATTTTGTTGCCTTGGAAAGGTTTTCACATTTTGTGTTTTGGCTCAAGGAAAAATGCAAGTTGAATTAACGAATCATTTCCAAAGGTGAAAGTGTCGGATGATGATGTAAAAAGTCTATATTGATTCATCCTAGTGAACCATATCGAGAAATACCGGATCATATCAGAGCTTTTTCAGTTTGAGTGGACTTTCTAGGGTGTACCTGAAGAATGTAGATTCTCTTGAAATACGATGCCAAGCCCATTATTATGGCAATGTTTTTCTCCACAAAACAAGCAGAGCACCCTGTCAGAAACATGAAGTGTGTTCAGGTTCTAACAGGACCACACATGACTCAAAAGGGTGAATATTTTCAATGCAGTAAAGATGAAAGAGTCTCGTGTCAGGCTTCCTGTTTATAGATATGTCTCAAAATAACTAAACTTTTATAACTTTTGGACCAAAGGCCGTGTCCCCCATGAGAATGAGACACCAGTGAAGAACTGTTTTTTTTGTCATATGTGTAAAAACCCAAGAAAGGATTCATTTTGCTTGATCACGTCGTAATTGCACCACCACAGATTTTTTATTGACATAAGTTGTACCTTGGGATTTTTACAATCTTACCAGTTGCCATGTCTGGGTGGTTTGCTCTTGTTGCAGAAGAACAAAGGACTCAGGCGTCTGCTCAGGGAAGTCGGTCAACGCCTGCCCTTGCATCAGGTACGTGGTTGCAAGTTCAAGCATTCTCTGACTGGTGTAACATGACTTTGCCTTCATAGCTAAGGCTGCATCTGAATTTGTGTCCAAGAGCTAGGTCTAGGTCTTCACTCCACTGTAAATGCGCGGAGACGCGCAGACAATAAACGTAGCCATAGCTCTGAAAGCCCTTTTCGGAAACGGTGTCACACTCTTTTTTCATCCATGACAGGACAAGACTCCTGCAATTATCTTGTACTTATTGGAGCAAGTATTTGATGCTATGCTGTGATGTCTCTGTTGAACTGACTTGCTTCAGCCAGTGTTGTAATCGAGTCAGTCATTAATGTTTTGGGGTTCACTGTTGTTGTAAATTGCAGAGAGCCTTACCTTACAGAAAGAGTGCTGTGAACTGAAGGCCAAACTGTCACAGACAGAGGACAGGCTGAACAGGTGAGCGTCCTCTGTAACCTTGATGGAATTGGATGGTACCTTGATGGTACATGATACACCAGGTGGAAGGCATGGATATGCAGCACCAATCTGACAAACCCCAAATCTGTAATGTTGATAGGGTGTTTGCTTCCACAACATCCAAAACTTAATTATCAGTCATGTTTATTTCTCCAGTTTGTGTCGTTTTTCAGCCCCGGAGTAGATCAATGAAGCTGGGGATTAAACGCAGGGGAAGCCCTAGGGTTTTCTGAAGGTAGTCCTGAGGAAGCCTAAGGATAGCTCTCAGAGTAATCACACAGTAACCCGGGGAAGGGGGAAGGAAGTCCTAGGGGTGCTCCAGAATAGTCCTGAGGTGACACCCTGACTGGTGCCCCAAATGGGGCTTGTGATGTAATCCCACAGGACAAGAAGAGAGAGCGGCAAGCTGAGTCAGGACACCAACAAGCTCCAGATTTTGCTACGCGAGGCAGAGGCCCAGCGAGACAAGCTGATGGACCAAGATTTCCAACGGAAGAAAGAGCTGAAGGAAGCAGCCAAGGAGGTTGAAAGAGCCAGACAGCAGGTTGGTGGACAGCATCATGTACACTTTGAGGAGCTTTTCTGCAATTTGTAATATAGCTTTTTGAAACACTGATGTAGTTTCTTACGTCATGCTGTGTTGTAAGTTTTTGGTTTGTGTTTTGTTTTGTTTTCTGGTTTTGGTTTGTTTCCATTTTTGCTTCTTGGGAATCACAGTAGCTTGGTCCTGAGGGGCCAGTCTGGAAACCCCCCCTTACCTTTGCAGGGGTACGTTTGGGATTTTTTCGCCTCCATTTCAAGGCAGAGATGACCACTTAATTATGCCTTCGCTGGCATGTTGGGGCTCATCTGCATTCGGGGCGCCCGTCCTTCACCCTTTCGTAATGCTAGAACCATGATGGCATTTGTCTTCATGCTAGAATGGAAGAAAGTAAAAAAGTTGCTGCTGCTTTCTTACTAACTGGAGTGACTTGATGTTTACCAAGCTTAACCACTTGCTGCCGGGTGTAATTTGAAGTTGCATGTCATGAAACCGGGTGAATTTCAAGATTTATCTTTTTCAAAATTCTTCAAAAAATCATAGCTTTATTTACTGGACATTTACACCCACACGACAAACTGTCTGGTGACTACTTTAATCTGATAGACGATATCTATTGGTGCCCGATTATTTCAACAGGTCTGCCGCCTTGTAAAAAAGCCCAGATTGTGCAGTGTTGTGTAATTTTCTTTTGTTCCTGAAACTGGCACAGTGCGCTACTGGCGTCTTTTCAATAGGGGCCAGATTAGCGTGCAGCGGTATTGCATCACTCATCACTAGAGTGCTGGAGCGCTTTTGTCCCTGTGGTAATCCACTTGTGCTAAATGCCACAAACAGTGGTATAATCTTTCAAAACAATGATAGATTTCCTCCGCTATTGACAACTGAAAAAGTTAGCAATTCCCAGCAGCCCGCTCTTTTGGTCAGAGTACGGTCTTTTGTTACACGGCCCAGCTCTTTTGTCCAATTTCGGGCTCCCCAACTGTGCATTTAAAGAGCATGTACCCAAAACCGGGGTGCATATGGTTAAAGGTTGGATGGCCCGATGTTTTGATCCTTGCCAAACCTTCTCTGAAGGCGTTGCAGAAAGAGCCTGCTACAAAATGTTAGGCCCCTTTAACAAAAATCATTCATCCTCAAGGTAGATGGGGGAGTTGTTCTGATATCATCCGCAGTGTTTTTGGAGATACTGAACTTTCAGGAGTTCTTGATAATGTTTCACAATCATTTTTAACCCCCCTCCTCTCCAAAAAAAACTCCAAAATTGGGTTATTGAGGGTAAAGCTTCCATTCAAAACCATCAGAGTCTTGAAAAAGTTGGCACAGTTCCCAAACATTTTCCTTGCAAAGGGTTGGGGTAAGAGGTATGTCTAGAATGTTCATGCCAAGCTAATTTGTCCTGCGTCAGCGAGTCATCAGCAGGTCATTATGGGGCACTCAGTCGCCCCCCAGCACCGGCGGTCATTGAGAAGTCTGGCATCAGGCAGGAAATATAACATCTTGTCTTGAATAGAGACAGTGTGGTGGGAGTGATTGTAACCTGTGGGCCTTCTTATCTCTCTTGCTTGTGGAGAGTCAGTTGTCTAGGTCAGAATGGCACTCTCTAGAATTACAGGGCCGGTATGCCAGGCCACAAAGGAATGTAGTATTGCCTTGATTTGGTTAGTTTTGGGCGTGTGGTTGGGTGGTCTGCAGTTGTCTCGAACGCAGAGTCAAAGGGTCAGAGGCAAGTCACTTGACCCATATTTTCCCCTCTCCACCCAGGAGTTTAAGTGGGTACCTGTGAGGGCAGAGGAAACTGTTGCAATGGGTTAGCCAGTTAGGGCCTGGGATGGCTGTATTTGTGCTCTTTACTCCCCAGACTGTCAAGATGGTTCTTGGAACATTCCTTGGCCCGCTGAGCACAAGAAATAATGACATGCAGCTTCATGACCACCAGAACTGGTGGCATGTGGGCGTCATCAACATCCTCCTTTAGTCACACAGGCCATATATTTTGGATGAGTTTCGATTTTGTATTTCAAGACCTAGTCTTTTCATGAGCTTTCCCTGTTTTAAATTTGTATTTTGAATATCCAGTGTAATGTTTTAGTTCCATCTATTCAAGCCCCATTTGATCTCTTGGTGTATGATTATCGCAAAGCTCAATCGCACTCAAAAATGTAAGATCTGAAGATGCAATGTGCTATTTATTCAGATAGTTGTTCTGTCAATTGGGAAATATTTATTTTAAAAATCAAATAGTTAAAGGTGAAATTCAGTGCAATAGATGTGAAAAATGTTGAAATTTCTATTCTAAAAGTATCTTCAAGGTGTGACAAGTAAACTAAAAGGGAGCTGAATGCGTATTTCCAACAAGTACCAAACTTACGGTTTTCTTCAAGTTAATCATTTTTTGCTTTTTGTCTTTTTTTCTGTTTCCAAGTGATTGTTTAGAAATATGTGAATATTCAGTTATTGGAATCGACTCAACCTCAGGAGCAATGGATCCAGTCATTTTGTTGTTCAGTTTAATAGCCGTAGCACAGAAGATTTTCCATTGAACCTTCATTGGTCTTTACTGTTCCTCTGTACAGGTCACAAAAGCCTTGGAAGAGAATCGGCACATGGAGGAGAGAGTACAGGCTGTGGAGCTGGAAAAGACAAGACTCGAGCGAGAGGCGCGGCAGGGTCCACCTGCCCTGGAGACCGGGCCAGCTGTCAACACGGTAAGGATCAGGGGCGTGGGGAGTGAAGGGATATGGGGAGTGAAGGTGGGGGTGAGGGAGAGTAGGTGGAGAGCAGGGGGGGGTGGG